TCGGTGTTTCTGTCTATCACTCTCCCTTACTCTCTCTCCAAAATTCAATAAAAACATTTTTTAAAAATAAAATAATTTGGGAACTTGTAATAAGATTTGGTCTGTGATACCCCTTTCCTCCCTTTGTGGATTAATAATCATTGCTCTATAGAAGAAAACTAGACATGTCTATTAAGAAAAATAACTGTCAGATTTCCACATTCTACATTAACAGAAGGAGCACAAAAATGAGGAGCCCTGGTCTTAGAGGCTGAGAGCTCGAGATCTTAGTCTTACCTTAGGAAGCTTTTGTTCATACCTCTGTGGCAAGTAGTACATCATTTCATAGTTTGTTCATGTTTATGCCTTTCCTCATCATTTGACTGTATTTATATTCGACTTTATTGAATATATGGAATCAATAAAGTCAAACGGCATTTAAGTGAAGACTATTGAAAATAACTGTGTGCTTTATTTCTGCCACGTGTTGAATAAGTAAAGTTATCTTTCCTACAGCCTTGTTTTCTGTCATGTGCTATAATGTTCTTTGTGATAAATATGCGACCCGGCAGTTGTATGGCTACTGTCCATCATGGGCACTAAATTGGGATTACAGGAAAAAGGCCATTATTCAAGAAATCCTGAGCTGCAATGCTGATATCATAAGTCTTCAGGTAAGTCATCAGAAGTGTATTTGTTTAAATTGCACAAATGCCCCAGCATTGATAAAGCAAGGTGCAACCTGGGAATGCATTCCACATTTGAAGTCACACCTTTAGCAATTCTTAAAATAGCAGCTTTTTCTGTTTTTAGTGAATCCTGGAAGAATTCACTGCCTGCTTTGTTCTGTAGCACTGTGCTGCCAAATTAAGCAAATGGGTTAAGCTGGGTTTTAAGCATTTGCTGTGACAGCTTAAATACTCACCTTTCCCTTCGTAATGCCCCTGCACACTGTTTTTTAATTGGGTGGCAATGTTTCTGAAATTGTGGTATTGTCAAGGTATGATTTTGTTTTACCACCAGTGATAATAGATTAGCGCATAGTGGAAAGAGCATTAAACGTGGGTGCACAGTAACTTCAAGTTCTCAGTCCATCTCTCATAACATACATGACCCTGGGCGTCACTTTCTGCAAATCAGCTTTTTGACGTGATTTTAAGCTCTCAAACTACATATATATGTGTATGTAAAGTTACTGTATGTGGCTGATTTTGTCTCATGAATAACTGCTGTTGACCATTTCTCAGGAGGTTGAAACAGAACAGTACTACAGTTTCTTTCTGGTAGAACTGAAAGGACGTGGCTATAATGGATTCTTTAGCCCTAAATCGAGAGCTCGGACAATGTCAGAACAAGAAAGAAAGCATGTTGATGGCTGTGCGATATTCTTCAAGACAGAGAAGTAGGTCATCGTCTTTTAAAAAAAGAAATGTTCTCTCTTTGCAGGGTGGGGACCAAGAGGATGGAAATATTTGGCAAATGAGAGAATGAGGCATTCTGTTATTACTTACGAAAACGGTACTTTTTACTTTAGAGGGTTTTATTTTGAATCATT